TTTGTCACATTTGTAAAATGATGCCTCAAATCCATTTATTAAATAAAAAGTGCATAAAAATACGATGTGATGTGTTTGATCTTTATTAAATTAACCTTGCTGACCGAAAAATTCGGTCCTTCAGTGCTGCGGACAAGAGTGATACGAGATTTAATCATTTTCCCTGTTGATGAATGGTACTATAAGTATTGAATCTGATAAGGACATTCATTCAAAAACCATTCTAAAGAATATCGTTTGAAATTTAATATTTCAAATAATTTTTTTCATCTGTAAAAGAACCAATGGTATTAAAAATTATTTTTACGATATCATTTAACAGAAATGGTATATAATTGAATTAGAACGAATAATCTTATGAACGAGTTAGCAAGTGCTGAACGTATTCAATCTAACAATTTTAACACAGGTAAATGTATACCATAGAAATATTTCATCACTCTTTTTCAGCTCTTTGCAGCAATTAATATTGCAGTTTTTAGCACAGATACATTTATTAGACAATAAATATTTAGAGGATGTGAAAATATTTTTGCACTTTATCTTTTATTTAAAACAAACACGAGAATAGAGCCTAAACGAGTGAAAATTCCCAAATTCAGTAATGTTTTTATTACTGAAAAAAGTAATGATTCCCTTTTACAGTAATACTTCCCCGAAAAAGGAACTGTGCCCAACCTGATAAATTGAATTATGCAACTTAGTGTAGTTTACTTGTGTGCCAAATTTTATTGAAATCAATTTCTAAAAAATTATTTTTAGTAACCATGGCAACACCGTTCATCGATAAACTGATCACTAGTTTATGTATCTCAGTGTAGTCTACTTGTGTGAGAAGTTATATTGAAATCAGAACAAAACTGTAAGAGGAGTGGCATTTAAAAAGGAATTTCTCAAAAACGTTTCGAAGTCAAAAACCCTTGCACAAGTTTATGTATCTTAGTGAAGTCTACTTGTGTCCCAAATTAATTGAAATCAAATTAAAACTGTAGGAGGAGTAGCGTTTTAAAGGAATTTCTCAAAAATTTCTATTTTTAATAACCATAGCAACACCGTTTGTCGAAATCAAGTTTATGTACCGTAGTGTAACCTACTTGTGTGCCAAGTTATATTGAAATCAGACCAAAACTGTAGGAGGAGTAGCGTTTTAACGGAATTTCTCAAAATTTTCTATTGATCTTTGTATGCAACTTTGGTGAAAATCGGTCTGGTGGTTCTGGAGAAGATTTATTAGCAACCACCACTTATGATTTTATTATCCTGATTATCTTCCCCTTGTTTAAGGGTCTGAACTCTAGTTTTAGTATAATTGGTAGCCCTTGGACCAAGGATGCCCTATGACAAATTTGACAATGATTTGCCATGGGATTTTTGAGTTATGGCCCATATTCTAAAAAGTTTGTAATTCAAGTACTTTTTAAAGCAGGGTCCAACCTCTTTAAAATTGATCATAATCAGCTTTGAAAATAAAAATTTAAAACTAACAAGAAACTAGAACTCTCCAAATGGGACAAAATACCCCCTACAGGGTTTTTCAGAAGTAAGTTTTTCCATAATAAAGATATGTATCACACATGAATTATGAAATTTTTCTTCCAGTGACCTTGAAGTTCCCCAAATGACCTTGGGTCAAGGTCATGACACACCCTTGGGACATGGGCAATCTTTGCATGAAATGAGAACCTACCAAGTTTATCCATAAAAAAGATGTAGGCTGGACACAAATTATGAAGTTTTTCCTCCAGTGACCTTGAACTTCCCAAAATGACCTTGGGTCAAGGTCTTGACAAACCCTTGGGTCATGGGCAATCTTTGTGTGAAATGAAAACCTACCAAGTTTATCCATAAGAAAGATATGGACCGGACACGAATTATGAACTTTTTCTTCCAGTGACCTTGAACTTCCCCAGATGACCTTAGGTCAAGGTCATGACACACCCATGGGTCATGGGCAATTTTTGTGTGGAGTAGTGGATGCTTATGTCCCTCCGTAAGAAAGATATGGATCGGACACGTTTGCACAGACAGACAGACAGACGGACAAGGTGATTCCTATATATCCCCCAAACTTCGTTTGCGGGAGGTATAATCATTCATTATTTTACAAAAACTTGGATAGGTGTTTGATATCATGCATGTAGCATGGTGCACAAAAGAATAAACTTTGTGAATGGGCACAAATAAACCTTTAACCGAATTTTATAAAGAAGACAATAAATGGACATTCCCATTTTATTAGTCATGCAAGTTCAAAATATTCTAACTAAACTCTATCGTTCTTTTTGTAAGTTCCCCGAATTACAAGTTTTGTTAAAAATTTATAGCAGGGAACGCCGAGGACGGATGCAGTATTTCCTGCTTTGTTTGACGCTTTTGTTGCACTAAACTATTTCTTCGCTTATCAATAAATATTTTACACTTTTACATTGATTCAAATAGCTGCGTTATTTTTCGTCTATTATACATCTTTTGTATCATACTTTGATAAGGAAGTATTATATGCCCTCTAGGGAGAGACAATCATCGGTGATTTTTTTAAAATTTATTTCAAAAATGATGCTGAAGATGAATTATACATTGATATTATATACTGCTTAATTGTTAGTAAAGAGAAAAGTTCAGAAAAATCGATCGTCACTCTATTGACCAATTGAATTATAGCTGTTCAGAGTAAAAACATAATTCACTGAACGTATACATAGTAAGTGTCCAGAAAATGGACCGACGAGTTGAAACTCATTATTTCTGTTCAGTTTAAATTCAAAACCCTCTTAGCATTTCAGAAAAAAAAAGAAATCATAACTTAAAAGAAATTGATATTCATTTTAAAGTAGGAAAAGCATATTGGTGTCATTTTTAGCTCTACTAGTCAGAGACCAGAAGAGCTTATGCGATAGTAATTCGTCCGTCTGTCTGTAAACAAGTTTTCAAAATGCTACTCCTCCTACAGTTTTGGTCTAATTTCAATATAAGTTGGCACACGAGTAGACTACACTTAGATACATAATTCTGTTATCTGTTTTTGATTTCGATTTAACGGTGTTGCCATAGTTACTAAAAATAGAAAATTCTGCGAAATACTTTCAAAATTCTACTCCTCCTACAGTTTTGTTCTGATTTCAGGATAACTTGGCACACATGTAAGCTACAGTAAGATACATAATTCTGTAAATCGATTTTTGATTGCGATGAACAGTGTTGCCGTGGTTAATAAAAATAGAAAGAAGATGGGCGCATTTGGTGTATGATCTGCAGGAATCATTTGTACGAAACATTTATGGTTTAAATGTCCATGATTTGGTTGGCTGAACATAGCTTGTCAGAGTTTACAAACACGTCCATATGTTTTTTTTTCAATTAGTTTGATTCAAGTGTGAGATTTTAACATTTTTGTCCGTTTTTCCTAGGGGGTTCTATAACATAGTAATGTTTCACAAAAAATAAACACCTAAAATATTTAATGCATATAGATGCATGATACGTGTACATGTACATTGTATAGAATAGAAGATTAGAATTGATTTCGCTCGAGAACCAAACTGAACCAAAATTAATCTAATTCAAAATTTTAATATATCAGTACATAAAACGAAACTGACAAAATAAATGGTTGTTTACGTGCAAAAAAAAAAAAAAAAAATAACGCCCCATGCCAAGCTCGAACCAAAAATTCTTCGCTTCGAGCGCACTGAACAGGTAGCCCAACTTACTGAGCTATCACCGCTACACATACACAGATGATTTTAAAAGGACAAAGAAGCACCACATTCATTTGGATTTTTTGAGGAAAAGTTCGTTTTTCGTTGTCTCTGGGTCTTCTCTCCATTTTTTAAAAACTTGTATTCATTTCTTAATTAATGATAAAATAATAATTTCTGAATTAAACTACACACAAATAACGTTTCAAAATCATGGAGAGAAGACCCAAAGATAGAAAAATTTTAGAAATGTACCATTTTGTACCAAGTGTCTGATCTGACCAATTTTCAAGTTATTTTTTAGTAAATCAGAGCTCAATATTGGGAAAATATTTTCCTTTCCTGTTGCACAGGAACCCGATAAATAAAAGAAATGTCAGAATTTCATCTGACATGTCGATAAAATTTTCACTTTTCAATTACGCCCAGATTCTTGCCGAATGCCAATCAAAAGCGCCCTCGTTCTTTCTGTGAAATATTTCCAAAATGCTAGTCCTCCTATACTTTTGGTCTGATTTCAATATAATTTGGCACACAAGTAGACTACACCTAGATACAAAATTCTGTATCAATTCTTGATTTCGATGAATTGTGTCGCCTTGGTTACTAAGAATAGAAATTTCTGCGAAATACTTTCAAAATGCTACTCCAAATACAGTTTTAGTCTAATTTCAATATAATAATGCAAGTAGACTACACTGATATACATAATTACTAGTTTTGTGTTTTTGATTTTGATGATTGACATGTTGCACATGCCATGGTAACTAAAATTGAAAATTCTGTAAAATTTTATTAAAAGGTCCTACAGTTGTAGTCAAATTGCAATCTCTCCAGGAAAAGCGACTCGATCAAGGATCATTATTTAATTTATTGTTTTTGACAAGTTTTAAGTCCCAACTGCTAATTTTCTTTTCTTCTATTATAAGTACAAACCAGTAGAGCTACAGCCTCGCAGACCTGTTTACTCTTATGATTTCGCCGTATTTTGCACGGATTTTTAGTTTAAAATACGTCTCACGTTTTACTATCATGAAAATACGGAAATAGGAAATACGTTCGTTTTGTTATGATTGTAACATTATCAAGAATCATTTTATGTACGAATTGATTTGATTTGCATAACGCATGTTGTACGTTTGGAATTGAATAAACGTGGACGCACACACATGGGCCGACTTCGACTAGAACTTTAGTTCGTACTCGAGTTACGTCAACAAATCCTAAAAATAGATATTTTGTTAAACTTACCCTAATACCAGCCAAATAGCATTAATAGCAAAAAATCTTACCCGAGTAAACATGGACGAAAGTTTTCCTTTTCTGTATGCATATGAAACTATTATTGACGACGAAGGAGGGGAGTATGTAAAACGATTTTATGCTTTCATGAGGCATAGTTTTCTGTTTTTATTCCTGAAAACGAGATCAACGCCATTAAGAATATTACGATATGCAGAAAATACTGTTCCACTGTTTACGGCAGCACACTTTAAATTTCACTTTCGAATTAGCAAGGAAATGTTTGAAATAATACTGCAGCAGATCGGAGGAGAGCTGCTTCCTACACACGGAGGAGAGTCTGATGAGACAGATCCATCGAAACAAGTGTTATTATTTCTATGGTTATATTGCAAATCAGCAGTCTATGAGGGAAATCAGCCACGTGTTCGACGTATCAATGTCAACGGTACATGCCACATTGAAAAGAGTCAATAATGCTATCAACAAAAAATTATGGAATGTAAGTATCTGTATATATAACTGCATGAACACGATGCAGAATTGTTTAATTCATAAAAGACGATTCCAAAACATTTGTATGTTTTTTCAGGTTATACAGTGGCCAGATTTTAATGAACAAAATGAAATTGCTAGAGAATTTCAACTTCGTTGTGGACTCCCAGATATAGTTGGTGTATTAGATGGTACACACATCCGCCTTGCTTCTTGCATCAACGGTGATACTGACTATATGAATAGGAAACATTTTCCGTCCATCCAGCTTCAGGTTTGTATAATCATGATTATATAATGGTTTCAATTTATATTTTTCTTTTTATATTTATAGGAATATAAGAAACTGCTATTATTTCTCTATTTGTATTTAGCATAGGCTGATCTATTAAAGCTTCGTGTTCCTGTTTAAATGATATTAATTGTACTAATTTTTGTATCTTCATTCAGATAGTGGTAGACCATGACATGTTAATCAGAGACATTTACACTGGATGGCCTGGGTCAACCCATGATGCAAGGGTATTCCGAAATTCAAATTTATTTACCAATGCCACCACAGGAAATTGCATTGATGTCAATAAATACATAATTGCTGACAGTGCTTATCCGTTAAAACAATGGCTCATAACCCCCTTCAAAGACAATGGCAGATTAAATGCTCAGCAGCGAAGGTTTAACAGGGTATTATCATCAGCAAGGCAAGTCGTTGAACGCAGCATTGGCCATCTTAAAAAACGTTTTAGGCGTTTGACAGAGGTCACTATTCATCATCCAGAAGAAATTGTAAAAACTATTGTTTCTGGGTGCATTCTACACAACCTATGTATCATTCATGAAGACAGTGTGGAAGGCTTTGTGGAAATAAACAATGATGGTCATCCAAATCACTTTCCCAACTTATACAATGATGGACAAGATGGAATACACAGACGGCAACAGCTTATGCAGATGTTGCCATGAGGGGACTGTACATTGAACAGTGTGTATTCGAATTGGTGTATATGTACATTGAACAGTGTATTTGTATTGATGTTGCTTACTTAAATGGTTTTTAAAAAAAAAAAAGCTTGTAACATTGACATCTTAAATTTTAATAGTAAATAACAAGTAAAAAATAACAACTGTGTTCAATAACAACCCTGAATTCTCAAGATGGGTTGGTAAGTTGGTAAACAATTTTATTTCATGACAGCAGCTTTGAAAATACATTCTAAAATTTAATAGAAAAAAACTCTATAAGTAAGAAAAGTACAAAAGAAAGCGATTTGTGAACAAAATGCTTGGTATCAAACATATGCTGTTTAAAGGAAAATTCATGATTAATTAATTTACAACTGTTATTTAGTTGAACTTGTGAGATATCTCACGCCAGAGTACATTAATATAGATGAAATAGATAAAGACAAGATTCTCAAATACGCAAAGACCGGACATCCGATTATATTTTTACAAACCTTCCATCAGCCCCCATTGCTTATAGACAATCAATGTACTTTTTGAGGGCCATCAGATTTGCAGTGTTTCTAGAGCATTTTACTTTAGAGATAAGAAGTAAGTGTCCAAATAATACCAAATACCAATAAGGAACGTCGAAAACAGTCTTTCAAAAGGGACAATAAAAACTTATGTCCAGTCTCACAAAAGATGCTGGCTCAAAAGAGATCCCTTACTGCTTAATGGCAAAAAAGTGCTGAGTACGTCTAAATTTGGAGCAATGGGAAATGTTCAAATGTCGTCCAAACAAATCTTAAAGGGATTAAAAGCAAATAAACAACCAATCTTCGAGGGCGTAATTAAAGAAAAATACACTGGGCGTCTCAGGAAGCTGAATCATGATTTCAAAACTATTTGTAAAGAGTATTTAAACAATATTTAATTGAACCAAACCGAATCTACAAGGCATGATAAAATGCTTCATGTATATACAATGTCATAGTCACAAAGTTTAACCCATGAATAAAGGCATTAAAGAAAGAAAATCTGAATCATATTTATCAGGATGAATATGCAGACATATTTACAACAACTCCTATGGTTCTGTAATGGCATACAGTAAACATAGGAACATAGATGAACTGGTTATTAGATCAAAACTCAAATTAAATAAAATGCAGTGAAATTGAATGATGTGTTCACTAGGTGGGCATTACATCTACCATGTATTACGTACCTTAAATTCAACAGACAAGTTTGTTTGTTGTTTACCACCGTCCCTTTCGAAAATTTATTCACTCAAGAGGCCAAGACACCTCCGAAACACTCTTAATTAGTCGTGGTAAATTTTATTATCAAAATGTTTCAAGAGTGAAGAATTCTAGATAGCTAATGGCATAAGATTGAGACACCGCCGTTGTTTTATTAAGAACTTTTTCTCAGTAATCACATCTTGGTGCCATTTTCTTCAACAAATCACAGTAGAACAATATCGGCCGTTCTGCTAAAAACTGATTTTGATGAAATTATATTTTATGAAACTTAGTTAACAATAAACAAAAATAATTGAATCTTCTTATTTAAAAAATCTTTTCAGTCGGTGCGATTTAATTGGGTCTGTCGCGTTAGGGGAAACAAAGGTATTTTTTTATTTTGGCCTTATCATCATCCTCTCAACCCCCACTAAGGGAGGAGCCCAAGACACCCTTCTACTATTATCTTATTCCCTTTTAATTTAATTCTTATGAACAACCCTAAAAAATAGTCTTTCACCCTTGACAATAATTACATTGTATAAAAAAATGGATCTCCAAGTTCATGAAAACTAATTTTGACACTAACGTTTCCTTGGATAATAGAAAATACAACTGATCAGATTAAAACAGGTTTTTTCATTTCATAAAACTAACTCTGCACCCTTAACAACATTACCTTGACACTACTTCGGTTAACTTTGTCGTCTAAATCCCTGAAAATTCTTCTATAGTTAAAAATGAATTTGGTCCAATTTGCATGCATTCATTACGATTAAATCCATGGGAAGAACATAAGGAAAATGGTGATAACTCTTCTGAAAAACATCTAGTGGATGGGCAGGTGGAAGGCCATGAGAAGGTAGATGGAGAATCACTTGTAGGGGATACATGTAGCAAGTCATCAAGGGTTTTACCACAGTAAATATTTAGATTTTTCTCGTCATTTACAGAACAGTTCAGTCCATAGTAAACAAAACTTGGCTGTACCTTTTCAATGACGTTGGAGCATTCCGCTTCAAAGGAAGCATCAGCCTCTGCAAACTCGTCTTTGCTTTCTTTCATTAGTCCAGGAGTGATATTGTCTTTTTGGAATAATTCCTGGTAGACAGACTCTTTCACTGCTGGATCTTTAAAAAAAGACAACTCATTTATCCCCCGTTAATTATCAATAATACACTTTTATACAACATAAAACTGAAAAATAATGCATTTAACGTTAAGCTAACATACTAATCTCTTTTAAATAAAAAATAAAATTTTGAAAAGTTACATTGAAATAGCTAAATAAAGCTACCTGAGGTAGGTAAATAAAGCTACGTAGGTAATTCTAACTACGTAGCTAAATCTAGTGATTTTACTGGACCTGGCTAATGCAGTGTGGACAGAAAAAAGAAAATCTATTAGACTTTTAACACCTTACCGCATTTAGGGTCATTGATCATCTGGAATAATTCTGGGGGCATTTGACAAGTTCTCTGAATGCCATTCCAGGTAAATTCAACTAATTCTGTTGTGGAGAAATGATAAATTCTATTCATTATAGCGTATTTGTATTAATTTTGTTCATGCATAAAAAATCCCGCTCGACTATAGATAGAAACCTTCGCAGTTTAAGATTTGCTAATTAAGCTATCTTTCTACGTTATGTTTTATCAGCTTTTTATTATAATATCTCTGATATTTCAAAGTGTTTATACTTACAAGTCCACGTTGTCTCCACCCGCCGCCATCTTGAAACTCGAATAACCCAGGGCTAGACGTGGGCCGTACTAGGGTAGAGTTCAAAGTTGAAATGACGTCACTATAGTCGCAACTCTATCAGTTCGGCTGTTACTCGGGTAACTCGGGCTCTTACTATAGTTCCAGTCGAAGTGGGCCATGGTGTTCTACTGTTTTTAGAGTCCTACTGGCGGACCTAGCATACTTCTATTAAATACCCGATAACAATACATGGTGTCAGAAGTCAGCCATGGATCTGACAGGTGTACCTACTCCCAAGATGGACTGGGAAGCGACGAACTTACCGGAACAGTGGAAAAAATTCCGGACGCGCGTGGATCTCGTATTTAAAGGACCGCTGTCGTAAGGTTACGTACTTACTGTTATGGGTTGGCGACAAGGGCCGCGAGATATACAATACTTGGACAGACATGTCAAATGATGATAAGAAGAAACTCGAGCCGCATTACAAACGGTACAAAGCACATGTTCAGCCAAAATTAAACCCTATTTTTGCGAGGTTCAAGTTTAATAATGAAAACCAGGGAGCCCCCTCAATAGAACAGTTTGTGACACGTTTAAGAGTACTCGCAGAAGACTGTAACTATGGTAACAGCAAGGATGAAATGATCCGTGACAGAATTGTTTTCGGCACATCTTCGCAAAAGGGCAGAGAGAAGCTCATCGCCGAAGGAGAAAAGTTGACCCTAGAGAAGGCAATACAGATTGCACAATCGTATGAATATTCACAACAACAGCTAAAGACTATGTCGTCACAAGAGGTCCATGCAGTTAGTCATGCGCGACACACGAGCAGTGGAAAGGCTTTTTGTGGTAGTTCTAAGCACTCGTCCAAGCATATGTCCAAGGATACAGAGCAGAAAAGATTCCCGCAAGCCCAGCCGAGGAATCAACACAAGATGAAG